AGTGTGGTAGATTAGCAAAGATGCTATGAAATGTTTGGTCAACATGGCAGAAGGATGGACAGCACTTGAGGGGTTCATGTAGCAACAAAGATTTCTTGTCATAGGATCATAGTTGAAGGAGACTTAAAACGGACGTGAAGATCCTCCTTGGAATGTTAACCCAATCATAGAAGCGTGTTACAAAATTTTTGTTATGTTTATGCATGTGTTTCAAGAAACCAGCTGATTGGTGGGCATTGAAGAAGTGTTTGGAACACCACTCTCCTTTCTTCTGATTTCTTTTATGTTTGTTTAAGTGATGCATGGGGAAGATCCACCCTTGGTGCTTGTAACCATTCTTCCAAAATAAGTAAAAACCATAAACTATCCATTGTCCTTCACATAAGATTCAAAACATCATTAAACTCAATATTATAATATATAAGTTCATGTGCGTTACAATAACAAAATACCGGGTAAGGATTAGAGGTGTAAAGTGGGCCGTGCCAGGCCAGCATGGCATGGCATGGCATGGCCTGTGGGTGGCCTGTACAAAGTGCAGGCCATGCCATATTAGGCCACAAGTTGTTATGGGCCGTGTCGCCCTCCCTAGTGAAAAGTTTGGGGGTCAGCCCGGCACGGCCCACAGCCCAAACCCATGTGGGCCAATGTCATATCATGTCATGCCACAGGCTGAGCTGGCCCGTGGGCCAAGCCTTGGCCCAAGCCGGGCCATAGACCGGGCCAAAGTTATTTTGCCTATTTATATAAAAAAGTTGAAAAAACTTAAAATTTTAATTTTATATGAATTTTAATGTATACAATTGCTTATATATACAATAATTAAATAAATTAGTATAATAAAATTGAAAACAATTGTTTATTTTATTAATATATTATATACTATATATTATTATATAATTATAATTTATATAATATATTATATATAAATTTTATATATATAATATAAATAGTATATATGGGCCATGTCGGGCCGAGCCACGGATTGGGCCGTGTCAAGATGCGTGCCATAGGCAGCACAACCCGCTTGGTCATGCCATACCGGCTCAGCCTGCAAACCTAAAACCCTAGGCCCAGTACAACATGGACCATCCTATCGGGACATGCTAAGCTAGGGGCGGCACGGCTTGATTTATACCTCTAATAAGGATAATTAAACTTAGCCTAATACTATATTTTACCCATACCCATATGGGTTGTAAAATCCATTTGTCAAACAAAAATACCTAACCTAACCTATCAATGTAGGTAGGAGCAGGTTCCCCGTACCCGTCCTCAAGGTGGAAATTACATGTCCTATCACGAAATTGATGGAATTGCTTGAAAAAATATAAGAGTACAGGTGATAAACTCACAACCATATGTTATTTCTACCAAAAAAGTGTAATACTTTGCTTTTGCAAGTATAGAATCCTCGTGCTCGTTGATATTTTTTTAAAGGCTATATGATAAAACCATTGCACCTGCAAACCTCACATAGAAATGGGGACATTTAACGTGCAGCAGCCAATATTAATGAATGCATCTAGTTGAATTCTAAAACAAGATGCTCGGTAAAATAATGTATAGAAAACTTTCCTTAATTTCGTACATTCTATGAGGGATGATATGCCCTAGCACCACGCAAGTAAGCCACGAAAGCACTGTGGACACCTTGAACTCGCTTGACAACCTTGGCACTACTTGGCAGTCGAACTAAGAATCATTCCGGCAAGTCAATGGGTCAACATGAGAGGCAACCTGTTTCTACCGATTTGACCTGAATTCGGTTAGCAATCTGCATAATGTGTCGGGTGACCTCCTCCTTAAGAGGTTTATCGTCCTTGACTTCCTCAAGATCACGATGTCATGTAGGAAGAGTCAGTTATCACTAGGGATGTCAATGGTATTTGAAAATCCGATTTCGAATTTGATATTCGACATAATCAAATCGAATTTGAAAAATCAAATATCTAATCGGTCAAATTCGGATATCCTATTTTTACCGAATAGTTAATCGGATTCAAATTCGGATATGACTTGATTCGATTCGATAAATATCTGAATTCTACCGATTATTTAATTCTTATATATTATATAAAATATTTTATATAATTTATATATAATAATTAAGCTATATAAATAATTCATATATTTATATACTTCATATCAATAAAATATTTATTTTATATATTTATTAATTATCTAAAATAATTAATTAATCGAATTCGAATCGAATCAAATATTTAATCGGATTCGAATTCGGATATTAGTTTTCAATATCCGTTGATTATCGGATTTTCTAATTGAATTCGAATTCGGATATTGTCTGATCCGATTTGACTTCGATCTGTTTATACCCCTAGTTATCACCCCGTCCACTTCGGGCATGGTTGGATAAACACTACCCACTTACGTGGAGTCCACCTACGGGCGTGAAACCACCTCCAAACTAGGTGGACTGAAGATTTTGGATGTGCTTTGTGAGCCTCATGGTAGCTTGCCCATATAAAGTTGTCCCCTTCCTTAAAAAAGTACACACGATTTAACTCTCAAACACTTTAACTCTCTTGCATTCTAGCAATCACATCTCTAGTTCGCTAACTTAAGCATCGGAGTGCCCACCCCGACTAAAGCAATCCAAACACTCTGATCTCTTTCTTGCAACTCGACCAGGTGACCTACTCAGTCTGGCATCCAAACTATCTACCAGTAGAGAGCACCAGATCACGCACCATCAAGCCTGATTAAAGGTCCACTGCTAATGTACCATGGTAGTGTTTAACATTTATTATTTGATTCTCTAGTTTCTTTAACCTATTTTGGGTTTGTTTGGTTTGTAGGAATGGAGGTCCGAAATTGGAATCGGATATGGTCTAACTATTTGGTTAGGTGGAATCAGAATCCCATTAATCCCATTGAGGGAATGACCATTCCCCCAGCAGAATGAGAATCCATTATAGCCAATTCTGATGCGATTATGATTCCAATTTGAACCAAACAAGTGAAGGAAATAGACCATTTCAATTCTGATGCCAGTCTGAACCAAACAGGTGAAAGGAGATCATTCTGATTCGGACTGTAAACCAAATCAACCCTTCATGTTTCTCCAACCCAAAATAATTCAATGAAACTGAGAAGCTACTGTACAAACATCATCTATCTAAAATTATATTTATTATCGATTAATAAAATAGGTTTACTGCCATAGTTACACTTTTGTCATTTCGTTACAGATGCTCTTGAATAAAGAAGCATACATCACATACAATAAGCAGGTATAGCAGTGGTTACTACCTTAATTTACTACCTACCTCAAGCTGAAGACCTAAATAAGTTAAAGGGCTTACAACCATTTTAAGGATTTTGGGATAGTGATGGTAAGCTGATGATGAAATGCATCTTCCATTTTCACATGTTGCATTGAAGCTCTTTCATAAGTGTTAATTCTCCGGTAGGTTTCACCCTTCCTTAATATTAGCCTTTGTAAATATGAAACTGATTATAGGGTACAATTTATTTAAAACATAATACCATGGTTTTCGAACTTCAGTTAACTCAAACAGTCAGACTATTTGGCTCAATAACTGTTCAAGCAACTGGTTTTGTTTTATCTTAAATCTGGTTTATGGTAAAAAATTATTGAATCAGTCAACAATTCATTAACTTAGGTGGTCAAATTGTCGATCCGTTCAACAGTTTTTGGCCGTTTTTTATTTTTTTGTTAGAACGGACCGTTCATTCGAATTGAACGATCAAACCGTTCCAAAAACCAGTGGCCAAAACGATTCAGTTTCTAGGTTGTTTTTAAAACCATGCATAATACCATTAATTTTGTTTTCCATGACCAAACAATTCAACATGGATGAAAATACATCGAAACACGATACAAACAAATATAGATATATGGAATTTGCCTACCTAAGGCCTCTTTAAACTTATCCACAGAAATTGGAAGGTAAAATGGAGGGGTGCATTTAGACTATAATGTGATAAGCGAATATCGCTTGAAAAGGAAAGCTCTATAAAATAGTTATAATACCAATTATGTTATATAGAATATAATTTTGGGCAGTAAATAACAGTATGCCTAAAACTGCATATGCTATGATGAATAAGCAATGTTTTTAACCCATTGTTGACCCAGTTGGTTGAACCATTTGAACCATCACCCGATTCGTTCGATTCAATGATTGAGTTATAGGTTGCATACTTAATGTATATACAAACTTTTGGAATTCATAACTTTACACTCTGATGTCTAATTAGAATGATTTTTTTTTTTAATTTTAAATAACTTTTTAAGATCTATGCATCCCAAAATATTGATATGAAACGATTTAACCCATTCGACCCAAACGGTTAAATCAGTGACCCATGACTCGGAAAAAAAAACGGTTGGCCTTCGAATCGATTTTTAAAACATTATGAATAAGTGGGAAAACTAGATAGGATACTGGCATACAGAAAAACAATAACATACGAATGGCTCTATGAAGTGATAAAATGAGAGAAATTACACTATGAGGATAGTCAAGTGGATAGAAGAACTTTGACAGGACCTAAAAGAAGAAGTGATTTTTTTTTTTTTTTTGGTAAGGGGATAGAAAGGGCAGGGATAGACTAAAAAGCACATGGATCAAAGTAATAATTTAACAATGTTACCCCTTTTAAGTTATACCTGCTTAACAATAAAGACTCCACAGTCCGCACATACTTTTCTAACAAATTGGATATGCCACGTGGCAAATTAAAGAGTGGAGCCAATGTGCAGATGGGGCACAAAAAGGCGAGGATAATTGGATAAACCATCTCTAGATGTTAATTTTGAGTGCAATTCCAATAATGAACCACCAGCAGACAATCACTTCATGCAACTTTTCTGCTTGACCAATTGACATGTTGACGTGCCCAAGGAGAGAAGAGGAAGCTGTTAGCGAGCGTTTAGCAGCAGGACTCATGCGCTGCACATACAACGCGCTATATATTCACCATCCGCTAAAGTACACCGTTAAGTGTGTAGGTGCAGCCCACCCTCCTCTGCGCCTTTGGTGGGTGATTTGGTGGCAATAGATCGCAGCAACATATTCGACCTCGTGGGTAACGAAAGAGGACGGAGCGACATACAAAGCGACAAGGGAAACTGACGAACGAGAGAGAGAGGGAGAGGGAGAGAAGAGAGTGTGTGTTTGTGTTCTGTATTTACCATCTTCTCTTCTCCGTCTTCTTCGTCCTGGTGAATTCTTCAATGGCGTCAATTCTATCTTCCTTCAGGTACTCGGACAGTCTTGTGGTCGTAGGCATCTCAATCTGCACAGCTTTTCTGTGCGAAGGCATTTCATGGCTTCTAATCTACCGCACCTCCTCCTACAAGTCACTCCGTTCATCGATCGACAAAGCCTCCAAGAAGCTCGAGACCATGAAGACCGGCGAAAACAAGGGACCCAACAAGAAATCCAAGACCAAGAAGATCGATCGAGTAGAGACAAGTCTAAAGGAATCCAGCCGTGATCTCTCCCTCTCCAAATTCAAGTCCGGTGCCGTCGTCGCTCTCGTCCTCTTCGTTGTCTTTGGGTTGTTGAATTCTCTCTTCGAAGGGAAACCTGTCGCCAAGTTGCCCTTCTCTCCGGCTGGTTTTGTTCAGAAGATGAGCCACCGGGGTTTGCCTGGCAATGACCCAACTGATTGTTCGATGGCGTTTTTGTATTTCTTATGCTCGATTAGTATCAGGACCAATTTGCAGAAGTTTCTAGGGTTTTCGCCCCCCAGAGGGACTGCCAACGCTGGGTTGTTCCCGATGCCTGATCCGAAGACCAACTGATTCGGTTTAACAGTTGGTGAGTCATGTAGTATTAGGTTATCCTTAATTCTGCAGTTACTGTTGTTTTTCTTTTTCAATAGTACTAAAGGTTGTGCCTTTCTGATTGTGATCGCCGGGATCATTGCTCTTTTTCAGTTTCTAAGCTTCTTTATTCGTTGTAAACGCTTTATTAGCAATTTTGATTTAGTGTGCTTCTCTGAGATTGAATCCAATGTGGTTCTGTAAGATTGAACCTTTGATTACTTTGCGTTGATTGTTTACGAGTTTTGCGTGTGGTTTATTCCTATTTAATTGACATTGTTGGAAATCAAGACCATCATCGTTTACGTCATAATTGTGCTAAATAAGGGCCAAAAGGATAGTCAAATTTCAGAGTATTTAGTGACGAGGCCGTTCTGTTGACTTGTTTTATGGACATTGAGTTCTACACTTTATCCTACCTGTGTGTTGGTTGTCAAGTTCTAGATTCAGTGGAGCGTTAGTCTCATAGATTTTAAATCCATGTTGGGAAAAATATCAGTTGCATTTGGAATAGTACCTATGACCCGGGGCCGGTGGGGGGGGGATCTATGATGCCAGAAAGGTATGATACCGGAATAGCTTTGATCAACCAAACCCCCGTGAATTTTGATGAAAACCACCTGATTGGTTACCACTTTATGGTACCGGTTGATTGGGTATAAGTTTTTCCGGTATCATAGTTGAACCCATGACTGAGATGGTAGAAATAATGAACAAATCTGGTGAAGTAAAAAACCTTAAATAAGAAATTAATTCTTTTCTGTTTATATTAAATTCCTTTTCCTTGTTTTTCTCTTTTCCCTATTTGATATCTACCCTTCTTGTCTCCTCTCCATTCCTGTTCCTCTTCTTCCTTTTTTCTTTGTATTACTCTAAAACTGAATCGAAGGTGTTGCATTTTATCCTTCATATATCTCATTCTGGTCAAACTAGAAATGAAAAAAAATCTCAAAGTTTCTGAAACTTCTCTTGGAATTTAAAACACCAGATTGTGAAACTATTTTTATTGGTTGAATATTTGAATACTCTCTCTCTCTCTCTCTCCTATATACTTATTACACCTTTATTTGTAAATGCATCCATCTGATGTTTGATAGATGCTCTTGAAATGCAGGAAAAGTTCTAAAGATGATACAAGTCTGTCTAATGTTTTTTTAATGAGTATAAATCTGTCTAAATCCATATGAGAGAATTCTTTTATGCAATCTCAATGAGAATGGCTACATCATTTCAATGTGTCAAACCCTATTGTTCAGTAAATTTTGCTCTTGCCTTGGCCTCGTGTCAAGACGTGAGCACCCCAAAATTTTAGTCCGTTCATTTTTCCTCTTTCCATTCTTTTTATCTTTCTCTCTCCCCTCTTGCACATGCCCCCAAGGTTCAAAGTATCGATACGATACGCGTTTCGACCGTATCGTATCGGTACTTAGAAACGGCCGAAACACCATTTTTTTTTTAGTTTTTTTCAAGGTTTGGTTTTTTGGGAAGCTTAAAACGTGTTTTTTATGATTAAAAAAAGTTGGGGGCCCGAAACGCCTTCGGACCGTATCTTTTTCAAAAGATACGATACGATACACCCAATACGGGGTGTATCGTATCGATACTTTAAACCATGCATGCCACTCAACTAGTCCGTTTAATCAAGATTTATTGGCTTTTCCACATTGCCTAAATCAAGTTCTCAACTATCCATTTTAGGCTTCCAATGCTTTTAGTATCTGAAAACTAGAGAAGAATGTTGGAGTGAGGCTGCTCAATTTTGCCAGAGCCCAAAGTTTGACCAGATACCTGTAAAGTTTCTTTACTTTGTGCTAGCTATGGTGTCAACATCTTCAAAAAAATTTGCATGATGTGAAAAGTGTATCTTTAGTGTCTGTGTAATAAAGCCAAAGTAATGTTGGGAGTTGCACGGGTTTTATATAGGTGAAAAAGAGAGATATTTGAGTAACTGACCATATTTTGTGGTTTCAGAAGTTATAGTCTTCATTAGTTTTTAAACAAAATGGAATATTGAATAATTGTATCTTTGGTTTATCTTAAGATTTCAAAACATTAATTTTTCCCCATTTAAACACAACAACTTGCTTCAAAATATCTTAATTCTAGCCTTTTCCTTACAGGCCTTGAGCTTCTACAAAAGATGAATTCTGTTTTCTTCTCTAAGGGGTCAGGTCTATGTCTGGTATTCCTTTGGGAGGAGGTTTGTGAGTTGCTGGTGGTGCTTGGGTATGACAAGAATAACCCTTAGTGTTCAGATTACATTGAGTATGTAAATAATTATGCACCCACAGATGGGGAGTGTGCTGTTTTTTATATAATAAAACATGATGCATTTATTGATAGTTAGATATTTGGGAAAGCATTCTAAGAGATTGAAATACAAACTTTTACATGTTTAATGAGTTAAATACCATATACAGGATGTACATGGTACCATTAAAAGTAAGAATGAGTTTGTGGAATTTTTCTTCTTGACTGAAATACCGCTATTTTTGAATTTGGTCCCTTTTTAATTGTAAGGGCAGTCATTGTAATTTGAAGTACTACTTTTCACCTCATTCAATTCCCTCTCAATTCTTATATTTATGGTATTAATTACCATTCTCTCTCATTGAATCCTACATATAAGGTATTTTTTCTTACCAATAAATTCTACTAATTAGATCTATATCCGGTACATTTAACAATATTAAATCCATGTTTTTAAAAGCTGGCCCAAAAATGAAACCTTCTTTCGTCCAAGCAGAAATAGTTATTCAACCATCAGGGTCAAATATGTCAGTCCATGATGTCACAGTTAAATAATAAAGTTTAAGAAATTGTAGAAAATTTGGACACATCTCTAATATTTCATATTAACCATATTAAAGAGTGTGATAAACAATAGTTAATTTTATTAATGATGAAAATGAAATACAAAATTTAAAACTGACCTAAAAATGAAATTGTTTTCCTATTTGGTGGTGGATCAATAGTTCAACCTTTCAGGTCAAATGTGTGAACCCTTGATGTCATAATTGAATAATATAAATTAAAATAAAAGATAAAAACAGAAAAATATGAAAAATGTAGAAATTTTGTAGAAAACATTTAAGCACATCTCTAATATTATATGATATTAAAAAAAATAGAATGGCAAAACAAGACTTATGTTGCTGACTCCATATGGTTGGGATAAGGCTTGGATGATGATGATGATTTAAGCAAATCTCTAATATCATATATTCATCATATTAAACAATAATTAAGTGTGATGAACAAGAATTATTTTTATACACATAAATGATAAAACATAAAAAAAAAACTGTAGAAAAAGTTGGGCACATATTATTGCTATCTTCATCATTATCATCTCTAAAATTGCCATGTGCAAAGTATGTGGGCATTTGCTGGTATACAAAAAGCTTTATATGTCAAAAATAGAACAAAAATGATTTGCTCCCCCCTACTAAACAAATTATTCTATTTCAAACCATGGAAATCTTTTAGGATGGAATCCTGACAAACCTGCAGCCACTCAATTCTTGACATATTTTCAAAACATACAGTTGTTCTGTTCCACAAATTCCAGCAAACTGAGAAAGGGGTCAGATTCTACATGATACACCCTCTTGGGGTGAATCCTAAGGCAAGATGGAGTATTAAATAGTGCAGTGTGTGCTTTTGTCGGGAGGGAGGGAGAGGGGGACTTATAAGACAATCCTCAAACAGGCTCCTTAACCGGAAGTTATTTTCTTTATCTATGTTAAGTCTCAACTACCCATTTTGGACTTCATACTATTTTGCTATCTAAGGAAACATAGGCTCGGTTTATTTGCAGTTCAAATTGTATTTGAACTGGTGTAAATGCATGGGTTTGCAAATGCGTGGTGTAAATTCTGGTTTACTTTTGCTTCAGATTTGACGTTGTCTCAGTTGTTTGTGAGAAGTAAAATGGTGTCTCCACTTTATATAAGAGAGAACTATGTAGGAGGGACTAGGGAGGTACTGCAAATTCTGCATCAGCTTTTGGGATACAAAATTTGCACTGGAGTTGTTCAGGGAATTCTCTTGTGATGATATTGCAAGGAATTGTAATGCAGTGGCGACTTCCTCATCCTCAAAGTCTATTATTTAGGAGAAGTGGACCCCATCAGCATGTCTTTGGTGGTAGTTCAATTGGTAATCTTGGGCCTTCTGGCATAGATGGAGAAGGGTTGTGGTGGTATATTCTTGGTCTATAGGAGTGGGTGATTCTCTAAGAGCTGAAGTTCTAGTCATTCTTCATGGGTTGAGAACTTGAGTTTGGCAAAAGAATTGGGCTTCCAACAGAATGAAGTGGAAGGGGACTTGAAATTGGCGATAGGGTGGATACCAAGTAGTATGGGGATCTGGGCTCACAGGCAGACCATGAGAGAGATCAGATGCCTATCAAGAAAGCTTAGTGTATTTTTTAGATGGATTAGAAGGTCAGCTAATGGTTTGGTTGATACACTAGCCAAACAAGGTATAAACAGGGGAGAATTCTTTTGGGCTGAATTGTAATAGTGAAATCTTTTTTGGGGTCAGATTCCCTTAATTTGGGGACTGGACCTGTGTACTCTCTTATTTAATTTAATGAAAGTTACTGTTTCCTATTAAAAAAATTGCACTTCCGGTGAGTGCAAATGAGACAAAAGGTACAAACACAGCCATAAGGACTTAGATAGTTAATCCCTCTGTGTTTCCATTAGCTGAACCAGGCACTTGTGCAATTTTTGAGGCTATGTTAACAATATATCAGCATCTTTGAAAGTTGCAGAATTTGTAGTACTAGATCTTTTTTCCATCCTATTTATTTGGTAGGGAACCTAATTGGATAGCAAGATAAATCCATGTGATGTGAAGTATGCTCTTTTTGATAACCATGTAACCATATCAAGTTCAAGAATTTTAGTGGCGGTTGGCAAAGGCAGTGGTTTGGAGTTGCATGAGTTTGAGATGGGTTGAAAAAGAGGGACAGGAAAAGGAAACCAATTCTATTGTTATTAATTCATGATTTATTGTTTAAGATTCTGAGAAGAACAAATTTTCCTTGACTAGAACATCTTGATTTCAATTTAACAAATACTTATCTAGAATCTTGTGATCTCAGATCTCCATACAGGCTGCTGAAGTAGAGGGCATAAGAAAGAAAAGAAGAGAAAACATGGTTGAGAGAGGGAGAAAACTTTTTTTTTTCTCTCCATACCATGCATATAGAAAGACAAGAAAATCTTTCAATATTTCAATCTTGAAATACTATTTTCCATAAAATGGGTTGAAGTTAACAATAGGATATCTTTGCCATTTTTTTTAGCTAAGAAGACATTATAGTCATGGATCTGGTAAAAGATTTTTGTTTGTATGACTTGAAGTTCTTAATAGAAGCTCAACACTTGAGATCACATAAACTGATTGCCTGAGCAATCAGGATATTTTGTTATAACATACAAGTGCTGCTTCCTGTAGATATTGCAGATCAACTTATCATACATCTTTAACTTTTCACTTTCTCTAGTACTACAAATTTCAAGTTTTTCATTTTGCTCATTTGCTTCCAAGTGTTTTGTTTTTGTTCACTATATGTGTGTTTTGAGTGGTTGGAATGGGCTGCATATTCTGGTTCTGCCATTATGGGTATTTAGAATACCCTTTGAAACCATGACCATACCATTTGTGAACTAAAAACTGTAGCGAGGCAGGGCTATATTATCCTCTCCTAAATTGATGCTGATATAACCTGTGTGCCCGAATCGTCTGGGTTTCTGACCTCTGAGTGTTTGGAAGATCAGAAGTTAAATTCCTACCCATTGAAATGATGTTTATGAATGTAGGTTGTATCAGCCTACTCTTAATGTTATTTATTATTTCTTTTTAGTATCAAAAGCTTGTATTCAAATTGCGGGACTGGGAACCTTCCCTGCTTTCTGTGGTTGAAGTTTATCAAATTTTCTGCTTGATGCTATTCTTTCTTTGATAATTGTACATTCTGTAGATTCCATCAGAAACAGGGGTCAAGAGGGGCTGAAATAGGCTACAAAGACGAATGGGTTAAAAAGATGCTCAGGGACTAAGGGTTGTTAAATATCTAGTAGGGGTGGAAAAAACTATGCTATTGACTTTCTTTGTACAGATTAGCACTTGATTAGTCCTTAAACAGAACTTGAGAGGCTTATTAGCATGTATTTCTCTCAGCTAGAACAGGATTTTTAGTGCAAGATGCTCCTTGATTTGTGTATCTTGGTGCCAATAGATTGTGATACTCTTTTTGTTATTTCCTTGTGCAGATTTGAGATCACTAGTACAAAAGGATAAGGATTTGTGTTTTCATCTGTGTTGGCCGTACTGTGTTGGATACTGGAGCAGCATTGAAGTCTCAAAAAGCATAGAGCCTATGAAACTGGAGCTAGGAAATTTGGTTAGACCGTGTCATATTTACTTAGTTAAAAACAGTTAGGAACCCAGAATTAAAATAAAAATCTCTATCTGCAATGAGATAGTAAAATATTGCATTAGTGATGATTGCGAGATTCTTACTAGGAAGACTTTTTCCATGTCACACTTTTCTCTTTCTTTATGCTTCAAGACCCCTCAAAACTCTGTTGAATTCTTGAGTTTAATTAAAACAAGAAAAATTGTTTCCAACTACCAATTAGGAATAAAAAGGTAACTTGTGCGTCCCACCAACTTATTTACAACCAATAAGAACAAAATTCTCTCCTCTCATTCACAGTCTACCATCTACCACCTTTCTTTGGGTTGGAGACATTCCCCTTCCTTGAGGTGAAATTTGATTGAACCAAGTTATTTTCAAAAAAATTGACACCTCTGTACTTTACCATATTAACTAAAACACCATTTGCATAAGTTTTACTTTAATGTTTTATCCGTCAAGATTCATCTATAAATTGAAATCGGATTTGATCCTTACAAAACTGTCCTTGCAGCTGTGTATTAGGAATATCTCCCCATAAATAAAAAGATACAAGTATGGAGATGTTCGCACGGGACTGAATCCAAATTCCTAGCTTACATCAGTGAACGGTATGTGACTCGCAAAATAGTAATGGGGGGTGTTTTAAAATTTAAATGACCCCGAAAAATTTTTGACTCGTGCATGTTTCAAATTGAGGGGTAAAGGGAAATATTTCATATTTCCATCAACAAACCGAAGTTTTAACCTCATCAATCTACAATTTTAATATTGCAACTTGCGACACAAGTAGATCAATTTTTTGCTTTCTGTTTCATTTTCTAATACATACCATGAAAAGTGGCCGTGTCTCCCTTGTTTTATCACAGGGAAATGGAGAGGTTGGCTCTTTTAAGATCTTTGTGACCAAGGTTCAAAGTTTTGATACGTATTGGGCTATATCGGCCAATATGTATCATATTATGGGCTTTCCGATACACTCCTACAGTGGGTGCCTTGGGTCAGATTATGGTTCAAGGGGTAAACAGGCCTTAAATCAGCCCCCTTAAACTAGATTGAAAAAAAAAACTAAAAAAAAAGGAGAAATGAGTCTTAATATAGGATAGTCGATATTTTGAACCTTGTTTATGACTTTAAACATCAGGGGCCGAGCTAGGATTTTCTTTTGAGAGGGGACCAAAAAGTAATAAACATGGATGGGGGGCCAAAAGTTAGTAAATATAGGTAGGGGGACCAAAATATAGGTAAGGTTAAAATGGGTATTGTAGGGATTTTCAAGGCATAGCCCCCCTTTGCCACCCCTGGCTCCGCCCCTGTTAAACGTTAAAGACTGTCAAACGAGATTGGCTTCACTCAGTGCAAGACCCACTCAAACGGTATTCAAACAGTCTTTACAGCCTTGCATTGGGAACATCCTCCGTACTTCTGTGCTTTATTTCATGGGGAGATATTCTCTATGCAAGGTTATAAAAGGTGTTTGAATGGGCTTTGCACTGAGTGAATCCGGTTTCCTGTCGAACGGTGGTGAGAATGTGAAGCCCTTGCCAAATGCTCTTCGTGCAGTCTATGAAGCTACACGACATAGATGCATTTAGTCCTGATGAGGTCTCTTTGTGGAATAAAGTTGAGATGGAATTAGGAACAAAGATGAGATGCAGTTGCCTTGTTTCTGAATAGGGGAAGGTCACAGTCCCTGGGAGTGGGAACCTTTGTACTTTTTGGCTCATATGTTGAGCAAGGAGCCCATAAGAATTCATCATTTTACTTTGATGGTCTGATCCAACTTGGAAATGGTAAGATGCGTATTTTGTCTAAGAAAATTCTTCTAGTTCGAGTGGCTTTGTTTGTTTCTGCAACCAACACCTCTTGTGAGATGCATCAGCATGGTGAATAAAACTGAAAAGGGAGGGAACTGGTTTCAGAGTTACCCCACACAATGTCCTCATCATGAATGAGACAGCAAAGAGAGCAAAGATTGTAGAGATGATTTTTGTGTTTGGTTGCATGGCGTTTATAGATGTGATGTTTCTTAGATAAATGCTTTATTGAAAAATGTCACTTTAAACGTTTTTGTTGTTTGGTTGAGCATTTCTAGTACACCATTGCATTTCAATAAACGTTGGCCATTGGGAAGAACCAGAATTTAAAGTTTTTCCAACGTTTCATGCATAATCCAAGCATTTCTGTTTTTTAATATTTATTTGATAAATATTGAAATGAAACAACGATCTCATGCACAATAAATGTTAACTTCTAAGTAGGTTGATGTGATGGCATTTTTCTAAAAACATACCCGGTATCTCCTGTTAATGGACTGCTATCTCCATTTTCTGCAACTCCTAATTTTTTCCATATTTTACAATTTCAAACTTTTGCCATTTTGTATTACAGAACGCCCCCATCCTGATCATCCCCATTCCCCCCCACCCCCCAACTCCTCTGTAAAGAGACACGGTGAATATTGTAGAACGTCATCACTCTGGTCTGCAACCTGTAATGGTCACCTAAGATGCAAAGAGACAACAAAGATTCTGATTATCTCCATTTTCTGCATCTCTCTCTTGTATCAAATTGTCAGTCATAGACAACGATTAACTCAAATAGTAGAATGGGTGTTGTCTACACCACTGTTTTTGAACCATCGTTGACCCAGACGGTTGGATCGTTCGGTTCAAGAATCATGCAGGCAATTTTACCCTAAATTCAGTCCTTGGACAAAAACCGTAAAATTGGTCAGTAACCCATTGATTCAGGTGATCAAACCCTTGACCTGTTCAATGGTTTTTTGGCCGTTCTTTAATTACTTTTTATTTTTCATTGGAACGGGCTATTTGTTCGAACTGGACAGTCAAACCGCCAATCCGAAAACTAGTGGCTAAACAGTTCTGGTTCCAGGTCGGTTTTTAAAACCTTGATCCACAATTGCCCTATATTCAAATGGGTTAAAATAGAAATTTTATTTGTTCAGTTTAACAGACGACAAGGTTAAAAGAGTCGATTTACACATCCGTTAAAGAGAATGAATAGTAAGTAAAAACGGTGCAAACTACAAAGGTGTCTTAGTAATTCACAAACTACAGGGGGTGTTATAGTTAATATGGTAAAGAAGAGGGGTGTATTAATAAATGATACAATTATTACATATTGCTCATTTTGAGTCATTTAGGGATGCAAAGGGGTCAGATCTGATTTGAATTGGGGTATATCCAAATTCGATCTGATAATACATGCTAGATCTGGTCCAACTGGGTCTTACATACAAAACTTTTAAGTTGGAACTATATTTTCTCTACCATGTACTAGTTGTGCCTGAAAAACATTGCCAAAAGTTGGTATTAGAAATACATCATGTTTAGAAGGGAAAATGAAGCATAATATTTAAAATATTCAAACTTTTTGAAAAAAAAAAGACTTTGGTTCAATCAATCTAACTTTACCTCCCCACCCACAGGGAACAGAAAGAAATAAAAAAGAAAATCAATAATATGCTATTTTAGAAGGATATGGAGAGGGATATAACTATATAAATCTAAGGTTTTATCTTAGTGATAAGGGGTAGCTAGGGAAGTGAAAGAAATCATCTTCCCCAATTCCTAGAAAAATTCGGAAGAGACTAGATTGAGAGGTTTTAGGAGTGAGCTAATGTGAGTGGTTATTAAGGAGGACTTTAGTCTTTAGGAAGGAGAGTGTCTGCAACCGCAAACCAAAGGAAGGTGGTAAACCATGAGAAAGAGTTGGTGGGACTCCCAATCTCCCATATTTCTTTTTATTGGTTGTATGTATTCTAGTTAAGGTCATTTTTCCTTCTAACTCAGTTTGAAAGGAGCAGTGTTTTTAAAACTGGATCGAAAATTTTGGGAATGGTTATTTAATTGGTTCTATTTCATCTTAAACTCGCTTTTTAGTAAAAAAATCATTGATTTGGTCAATAAATCATTGGCCCAAACAGTCGAACTATTGAATCGGATAACGGTTTTTGGCCTTTTTTGTTTTTTACTTCTTTTTGTTAGAACGAGTCATCTATTTGGACCAATGTTTAACCCCGGGAACTGGACCCAAAATGGTTCCCTGTCCAATCTAATTTTAAAATCCTTGGAAAGGAGTACAAATACAAATATGTAGAATGTCAAACTAAGCCTATCTTTCAAACTCGAAAATTATGAGAGAGAGAGAGAGAGCATTCAGCGTGTTGCTCCATGCCATTAACCTTTGAGGCAACGTCTTATTTCTTTCAATACTTGATTTGTAGGTAGAGCTTCAAACGGTGTATGTTTAATTTGATCCGGTCAAGGGTGACCTGAATTGGACTTTTTTTTTTTGAATGCTATAGGGCCTTTGCTCTTAATATCTCTTATCTCTTATTATTTTTAGTGCCTTTTATCTATTAATGATGTAATATTTAAAAGTTATTATTATTTTATGAATTATATATGTATTACTTAATTACTTAATTAATTATTTTATTATCTAGTAATGATTATTTTATTCTTTATTTAATTATTTAATAACCAATTATTTTAATTAATTAATTAATACATAGTTATCAATTATTAATAATGATTTTAATTTTTAATTATTATTTAATTATTGATTATCAATTCTTACTAACAGTTAAGTTAACTATTTAATTTGTAGTTATGTAATTATTTATTTTAAATACTTATTAGTTAATTAATTAATGTTCAATTCTTTAAAAGTATTTAATAATTTATAATATTTATCAATTCCACATTTATTAATTATTTGATATTCACTTAATTAATTACTTAAATAGTTAAACAAACTTTCTCATATCCACCTTTAAGATGGTGAATTGTCATTTTTCAGATCTAGATTTCAAAACAATGTTCTTTACATTCAGACTTCATAACTAGCAAGAGTTCACTAACTCCAATTCAACTCTAAAATTAATTAGGGTAAAATACAACAGTCTCCCCTAAAGTTTCTAACAATCATAAAAACCTCTGCTATAGTTTCATTTTAACAAATACCTCCCTTGGACTTTTCAGAAACTTGACAAAAACCTCCCTTCTATCACGATCCCAGACGAAAAACGTTAGATTGACGCACCAGTTTTTTCCAAATACCTATTCTACCATTTTATAAATTATTTTATATACAAAATTACTGAAATAATCCCATTTTAACTCAACAAAAATACATGTTTTAGTAATTTTGTATGTAAAATTATTGAGATGGTCATTAAATGA